GCGGGCTTGAGTGAGCGGCGGCCGGCGGGCTTGAGAACGGGGTGGCTGGCGGATTCGACGAAGGAGCATCTGGCGGACTTGCGGCAACCACATGTGACGATCCCGGGCTGGACTCCACTTCGTCCACGGTGAAAGCTGATCCGGCGATCCACAGCGTGAAGTTGATGTATTTCCTCAGTGACCAGCACGGATCAGCTCCAGGCATGACGAAGCGATATCGTCCTCTTTTGGAAGACCAAACAAAGTAGTTTCACTTTCACAATGAAACACACAGCGCCTTCACGACATGGCGGCAGCAACAATATAGTATTTCTATATTTTTATATATATACAAATTTTTATATACAAATTAATATGTGCTTTATAAGTACTAATAAACAGCCAATCTGCATGCTAATAAGCAACACGTTAATAGTGAGAATTGGTCCTTAAAAAAATTACCAATACATTTTATTTTTTCCTTTTTTTCCTCACCATTTGAAAAGTAAACATATAGGCCATTTGAACTACTACAAAGTTGCCAAACTAGGTTGTGTGTGTACTGAATATTGGCCCTACTGTTAAAATTAATCCACGCTAAGAATGCTTATGCAATGACATACCAGTGCGATTGAGGGTGGCCATATTGAGCATAGCCTCCTGATACGCTTGCTCCACCTCTTCCCTGGATATCACCAACTTTATCTTGTTCCACTTCTCAGGCTAAATAAATTAAGCATAAAGGTAAACGGATACAGAAAGAAATGAGATGAGATTACAGTGATACATGTGGAGTTGTTATCTTTTCATAACATCTACAAAAAAGGGGGAAAAACAGACAAGCAATCATTCCAAAGACACTCACTATATCCAGCCACTGATGGGCATTCACTGCTACTTGAGTTCCCAGAGGTTTAGTCAGAACTAACACATCTCCAGGTACAGCACTGCCAGGCCTGCAAACATACACATACATGTGAGCATTTACACAACTAAAACCGTGAAGTGTCACACAATGGATATTCACTTTGATAATTGTGGAAATATCCATTAAGGAAAATCTGAATCATTCAGAACCAAGTGTACAGACACAGTCCTTTGATTCACGAGAGAGCAGAGACAACTCTTGGAGTGTTACAAGCTGTTCATGAATAGATAAGATCCCTAAAGTTGCAAAGACTAAAATCTCAAACCCAAAGAGATATTCTTTATAAAAGTTAAGACTCGTCCACGCCCTCCTAAAATGCCTCGTTTAAACACGCCCACACATGTCTACCTCACTGTGTGGAAAGATTTGCATAACACTGTCCTAATGTTCACGCAAAGAAAGAAGGAGTAACTTTGATTCTCGCTGTAGTATTGTTGCTGCCGCCGCCGCCATGTCGTGAGGGCGCTGTGTGTTTCCTTGTGAAAGCGAAACTACTTTGTTTGGCCTTCCAAAAGAGGACACAACTACAAATCAGTGGTTAAGTTGTATTTATAACACTGTTCCAGAACAAACCAAATATTTGTGTGTGTGCAGCGCATTTAACGGAGGACAGTTTCCTGAACCTACAATGACTACAATGTTCTGACTCACAACCTGCAAGTATGTTTTCATATTTAAAGAATTTGCCACTGATGATTCAAACGCGAGTTTTGGGCAGTGTAGAGTAGTGCTTGTTGTTTGTCGTTTCTCCGATCACAAATGCAGACAAATGGTTTTATGTTTACGTGGCGTGATACGCAACGCAACACGTAAAAAGACAGTATAAGTCATTATAATCCATAATTATGTACCCACTGGATGCAACGAATGCCTCGTTTATAATGGGTTTTCATGTTTTTGAATCATCGCTCCGGCCTGACAGGGCATCATCACAATATGGTAAGGGGCGTAACATTTCCGTCACACGCTTAAGGTATTCGGCCAATCA